ACCTGCTGTGATCGTATAGTGGTTAGTACATTGCGTTGTGGCCGCAATAACCCAGGTTCGAATCCTGGTCACGGCAATGGCACCTGTAATCAAAAGTTTTTTTGAAAATGCATTTATAATAAACTGTTGGGGAAAGAGCACTCTCCATCAATTAGGGAGTAATCTCTTCTTAAAAGATTAGTTATTACGACTATTGTGAATGTGCATGTGATTTTTTAAAGCCTAAAAAAACTGCAGTTTCTGTGGCGCAATCGGTTAGCGCGTTCGGCTGTTAACCGAAAGGTTGATGGTTCGAATCCATCCAGAAACGGTAACTAGCATTTGAAAAAAATATCTTGATAGTGGTTAGTACATTGCATTGTGGCCGCAATAACCCAGGTTCGAATCCTCGTTACGGCACTCAAAAGTCTTTTTGAAAGTGCACTTTAATAAAACTGTTTGATAAAAATATTTCAATATTAAAAAAGTACGATTCTAAAAAGGAACCATGTCATCAACTGTATAAAAGTACGCTAGCTGAAGTGTTTTTAATCTGTAATTTCTTTAAAGTGTATAATCTCTTCTTACAAGGTTAGTTCATTACGACTCTGGTCAAAGTTCAAGTGATTATCGTTTTTTTAGCCTAATAGAACTGCAGTTTCTGTGGCGCAATCGGTTAGCGCGTTCGGCTGTTAACCGAAAGGTTGATGGTTCAAATCCATCCAGAAACGTTATCTTCAATTTTTATAAAAACATTTCCATATTAAAAGGCCCACGCTTCTGAACAAAAGCCATGTCATCAACTGCATATAAAAATACTTTGAAGTCTTTTTAATATTTTTTACACGATTACGGGCTATCTTTGAAAAAAATTTTCTCATCGCTTTTTCGTAACCTGCTGTGATCGTATAGTGGTTAGTACATTGCGTTGTGGCCGCAATAACCCAGGTTCGAATCCTGGTCACGGCAATGGCACCTGTAATCAAAAGTTTTTTTGAAAATGCATTTATAATAAACTGTTGGGGAAAGAGCACTCTCCATCAATTAGGGAGTAATCTCTTCTTAAAAGATTAGTTTATTACGACTATTGTGAATGTGCATGTGATTTTTTAAAGCCTAAAAAACTGCAGTTTCTGTGGCGCAATCGGTTAGCGCGTTCGGCTGTTAACCGAAAGGTTGATGGTTCGAATCCATCCAGAAACGGTAACTAGCATTTTGAAAAAAATATCTTGATAGTGGTTAGTACATTGCATTGTGGCCGCAATAACCCAGGTTCGAATCCTCGTTACGGCACTCAAAAGTCTTTTTGAAAGTGCACTTTAATAAAACTGTTTGATAAAAATATTTCAATATTAAAAAAGTACGATTCTAAAAAGGAACCATGTCATCAACTGTATAAAAGTACGCTAGCTGAAGTGTTTTTAATCTGTAATTTCTTTAAAGTGTATAATCTTTCTTACAAGGTTAGTTCATTACGACTCTGGTCAAAGTTCAAGTGATTATCGTTTTTTTAGCCTAATAGAACTGCAGTTTCTGTGGCGCAATCGGTTAGCGCGTTCGGCTGTTAACCGAAAGGTTGATGGTTCAAATCCATCCAGAAACGTTATCTTCAATTTTTATAAAAACATTTCCATATTAAAAGGCCCACGCTTCTGAACAAAAGCCATGTCATCAACTGCATATAAAAATACTTTGAAGTCTTTTTAATATTTTTTACACGATTACGGGCTATCTTTGAAAAAAATTTTCTCATCGCTTTTTCGTAACCTGCTGTGATCGTATAGTGGTTAGTACATTGCGTTGTGGCCGCAATAACCCAGGTTCGAATCCTGGTCACGGCAATGGCACCTGTAATCAAAAGTTTTTTTGAAAATGCATTTATAATAAACTTTGGGGAAAGAGCACTCTCCATCAATTAGGGAGTAATCTCTTCTTAAAAGATTAGTTTATTACGACTATTGTGAATGTGCATGTGATTTTTTAAAGCCTAAAAAAACTGCAGTTTCTGTGGCGCAATCGGTTAGCGCGTTCGGCTGTTAACCGAAAGGTTGATGGTTCGAATCCATCCAGAAACGGTAACTAACATTTTGAAAAAATATCTTGATAGTGGTTAGTACATTGCATTGTGGCCGCAATAACCCAGGTTCGAATCCTCGTTACGGAACTCAAAAGTCTTTTTGAAAGTGCACTTTAATAAAACTGTTTGATAAAAATATTTCAATATTAAAAAAGTACGATTCTAAAAAGGAACCATGTCATCAACTGTATAAAAGTACGCTAGCTGAAGTGTTTTTAATCTGTAATTTCTTTAAAGTGTATAATCTCTTCTTACAAGGTTAGTTCATTACGACTCTGGTCAAAGTTCAAGTGATTATCGTTTTTTTAGCCTAATAGAACTGCAGTTTCTGTGGCGCAATCGGTTAGCGCGTTCGGCTGTTAACCGAAAGGTTGATGGTTCAAATCCATCCAGAAACGTTATCTTCAATTTTTATAAAAACATTTCCATATTAAAAGGCCCACGCTTCTGAACAAAAGCCATGTCATCAACTGCATATAAAAATACTTTGAAGTCTTTTTAATATTTTTTACACGATTACGGGCTATCTTTCAAAAAAATTTTCTCATCGCTTTTTCGTAACCTGCTGTGATCGTATAGTGGTTAGTACATTGCGTTGTGGCCGCAATAACCCAGGTTCGAATCCTGGTCACGGCAATGGCACCTGTAATCAAAAGTTTTTTTGAAAATGCATTTATAATAAACTGTTGGGGAAAGAGCACTCTCCATCAATTAGGGAGTAATCTCTTCTTAAAAGATTAGATTATTACGACTATTGTGAATGTGCATGTGATTTTTTAAAGCCTAAAAAAACTGCAGTTTCTGTGGCGCAATCGGTTAGCGCGTTCGGCTGTTAACCGAAAGGTTGATGGTTCGAATCCATCCAGAAACGGTAACTATATAGCAATTTGAAAAAAATATCTTGATAGTGGTTAGTACATTGCATTGTGGCCACAATAACCCAGGTTCGAATCCTCGTTACGGCACTCAAAAGTCTTTTTGAAAGTGCACTTTAATGAAACTGTTTGATAAAAATATTTCAATATTAAAAAAGTACGATTCTAAAAAGGAACCATGTCATCAACTGTATAAAAGTACGCTAGCTGAAGTGTTTTTAATCTGTAATTTCTTTAAAGTGTATAATCTCTTCTTACAAGGTTAGTTCATTACGACTCTGGTCAAAGTTCAAGTGATTATCGTTTTTTTAGCCTAATAGAACTGCAGTTTCTGTGGCGCAATCGGTTAGCGCGTTCGGCTGTTAACCGAAAGGTTGATGGTTCAAATCCATCCAGAAACGTTATCTTCAATTTTTATAAAAACATTTCCATATTAAAAGGCCCACGCTTCTGAACAAAAGCCATGTCATCAACTGCATATAAAAATACTTTGAAGTTTTTTATATTTTTTACACGATTACGGGCTATCTTTGAAAAAAATTTTCTCATCGCTTTTTCGTAACCTGCTGTGATCGTAGAGTGGTTAGTACATTGCGTTGTGGCCGCAATAACCCAGGTTCGAATCCTGGTCACGGCAATGGCACCTGTAATCAAAAGTTTTTTTGAAAATGCATTTATAATAAACTGTTGGGGAAAGAGCACTCTCCATCAATTAGGGAGTAATCTCTTCTTAAAAGATTAGTTTATTACGACTATTGTGAATGTGCATGTGATTTTTTAAAGCCTAATAGAACTGCAGTTTCTGTGGCGCAATCGGTTAGCGCGTTCGGCTGTTAACCGAAAGGTTGATGGTTCGAATCCATCCAGAAACGGTAACTAACATTTTGAAAAAAATATCTTGATAGTGGTTAGTACATTGCATTGTGGCCGCAATAACCCAGGTTCGAATCCTCGTTACGGAACTCAAAAGTCTTTTTGAAAGTGCACTTTAATAAAACTGTTTGATAAAAATATTTCAATATTAAAAAAGTACGATTCTAAAAAGGAACCATGTCATCAACTGTATAAAAGTACGCTAGCTGAAGTGTTTTTAATCTGTAATTTCTTTAAAGTGTATAATCTCTTCTTACAAGGTTAGTTCATTACGACTCTGGTCAAAGTTCAAGTGATTATCGTTTTTTTAGCCTAATAGAACTGCAGTTTCTGTGGCGCAATCGGTTAGCGCGTTCGGCTGTTAACCGAAAGGATGATGGTTTAAATCCATCCAGAAACGTTATCTTCAATTTTTATAAAAACATTTCCATATTAAAAGGCCCACGCTTCTGAACAAAAGCCATGTCATCAACTGCATATAAAAATACTTTGAAGTCTTTTTAATATTTTTTACACGATTACGGGCTATCTTTGAAAAAAATTTTCTCATCGCTTTTTCGTAACCTGCTGTGATCGTATAGTGGTTAGTACATTGCGTTGTGGCCGCAATAACCCAGGTTCGAATCCTGGTCACGGCAATGGCACCTGTAATCAAAAGTTTTTTTGAAAATGCATTTATAATAAACTGTTGGGGAAAGAGCACTCTCCATCAATTAGGGAGTAATCTCTTCTTAAAAGATTAGTTTATTACGACTATTGTGAATGTGCATGTGATTTTTTAAAGCCTAAAAAAACTGCAGTTTCTGTGGCGCAATCGGTTAGCGCGTTCGGCTGTTAACCGAAAGGTTGATTGTTCGAATCCATCCAGAAACGGTAACTAGCATTTTGATAAAAATATCTTGATAGTGGTTAGTACATTGCATTGTGGCCGTAATAACCCAGGTTCGAATCCTCGTTACGGCACTCAAAAGTCTTTTTGAAAGTGCACTTTAGTAAAACTGTTTCATAAAAATATTTCAATATTAAAAAAGTACGACTCTAAACAGAAGCCATGTCATCAACTGTATAAAAGTACGCTGAAGTGTTTTTAATCTGTAATTTCTTTAGAGTGTATAATCTCTTCTTACAAGGTTAGTTCATTACGACTCTGGTCAAAGTTTAAGTGATTATCGTTTTTTTAGCCTAATAAAACTGCAGTTTCTGTGGCGCAATCGGTTAGCGCGTTCGGCTGTTAACCAAAAGGTTGCATGATGGTTCAAATCCATCCAGAAACGTTATCTTCAATTTTTATAAAAACATTTCCATATTAAAAAGACCACGGTTCTGAACAAAAGCCATGTCATCAACTGTATATAAAAATACTTTGAAGAGTTTTTAATATTTTTTACACGATTACGGGCTATCTCTAAAAAAAATTTCTCATCGCTTTTTCGTAACCTGCTGTGATCGTATAGTGGTTAGTACATTGCGTTGTGGCCGCAATAACCCCGGTTGGAATCCTGGTCACGGCAATGACACCTGTAATCAAAAGTTTTTTTGAAAATGCATTTATAATAAAACTGTTGGGGAAAGAGCACTCTCCATCAATTAGGGAGTAATCTCTTCTTACAAGACTAGTTTATTAAGACTCTTGTGAATGTGCAATAGATTTTTTTAATCCTAAAAAACTGCAGTTTCTGTGTCGCAATCGGTTAGCGCGTTCGGCTGTTAACCGAAAGGTTGATGGTTTGAATCCATCCAGAAACGTTACTAGCATTTTGACAAAAATATCTTGATACTGGTTAGTATACATTGCATTGTGGCCGCAAAAACCCAGGTTCGAATCCTCGTTACGGCACTCAAAAGTCTTTTTGAAAGTGCACTTTAATAAAACTGTTTGATAAAAATATCTCAATATTAAAAAAAGTACGACTCTAAACAGAAGCCATGTCATCAACTTTATAAAAGTACGCTGAAGTGTTTTTAATGTGTATTTTCTTTAAAGTGTATCATCTTTTCTTACAAGGTTAGTTCATTACGACTCTGGTCAAAGTTCAAGTGATTATCGTTTTTTTAGCCTAAAAACTGCAGTTTTGTGGGGCAATCGGTTAGTGCGTTCGGCTGTGAACCAAAGAGTTGATGGTTGGAACCGATCCAGAAACGTTATCTCCCATTTTGATAAAATTATTACCTTGGGTCGGTAGACACAAGGTCATAAATTCGGCTTTGTTTTTATTATTATTTTTTTTGGTGGGGTTCTAGGCAGCAGTCTCCCTCGCGGCCACGGCACATAAATTACTGCAACTTCTTACTGTTCAATCTTCGAATCGCACGACATTTACGGAGTTTTCCGAAGGTTACGTCATAATCAAAACACCGTTTTACCGTTTTGCTTAACAAAGCTGGCTTGTCTATTGATGCGAAGACAGATGAAAATGAATTTGCCTTAATAGATCTCCAAGAAATTAAACTGAAAATTGATTTACGATCGAAGTTTATTTTGAGTGTAAATTAACACATGAAAATGACAGAATTGTGTGGAAATTATAATATTTGATAATTCAGATTCGTTGATAGATTCGACTTTTCGTGTTAGATAAACCAACTGTTACTCCATACTTAAATAATAATATTTAATCCGTATGAAACGTTAAATTTGCAAGTCACTTCATCATAAAGTTTCACAAGCATAATTAGTTGTGTGTGTTAATTTTGTAAAAATATCTCAAATCATCATTAGTCAGTGGTTTAATTTGTGGTGTGGCTCGGGATTCATTTAATTAGGCAAAGCGTTCTGAATATATAAGCTTCATTACAGGGTAAGGCTACAATCCACAGCATAGCAAATTTTGATTTCTTGTTCGCGTCGAAGGACCAATGTTTTCCATTTGATCATTTTTCTTGGGGTTTGCCCTCGTCGTTACTCCTTGTTTTGGCCAACACATGGGGAGCTAATATATGCGAGTGGGTTTTGTGTAATAGAAACCTTTCACTAATCCTGTCAGACCTGTCTATTTAGAGGCGACGTCATCAACTGCATAACAATACGTTGGAGTGTTTTTAATAATTTTTGGACCAGGAACTGGTCCCCACACGCGGCTAATCTTGTTGTTGTTGTTGTTGTTGTTGTTGTTTTTGTTGTTGTTGTTGTTGTTGTTGTTGTTGTTGTTTTTGTTGTTGTTGTTGTTGTTGTTGTTCTTGTTGTTGTTGTTGTTGTTGTTGTTGTTGTTGTGGTTGTTGTTGTTGTTGTTAGGGGGTGACGCTCTTTAAAAAAGCCTAAGGCTCCGTCAATTCGCATCAGATCGCGATTAAACTTCGCACAACTATCCTTAGCGATATTCCCCATCGATTGACGGAGTTATAATTTTGATTTTTATATTTTAAAGAAATTTAGAAGCAACTCAAAATTGTAGCGTAGTAATCCGTATAGATTATGTTCAATATTAGTATGCATAACTGAAGCAAGTTCAAATGGCTAAGGCTCCGTCATTTCGCACCAGATCGTGATAAAACTTCACACAACTATCTTAAAGGTTATTTTCTATCGACCTACGGAGTTAAATTGTTTGTGCTTATATTCTTGAGAAGATTTGCAAGCCATGTCAGATTGTGGTGAGAGGCAAATTTTAATATTATCAATATTCATATACTATGAGTTTAAGCCAGAAGGTCGTGTATTTTCTTTGTTTTGCACACAATATATATTCATGACTATAGTAAGACCATTGCGTTAAATGCGTTTCTCTCTAGGGCATTACTTATTTTTTATTTATTTGTTTAGGCTTTGCCCAGCATACATAAAAAAACGACTATAATGACAGTGGCATGCATGCACGGTGCACGCAACGCTAGCTTCTCGCCAGCTACAGCGGCATAGATTAGGACATAGATGTGCAACACGGCACATGCATTTTAAGTGTCCTTGCAGATGAGAAAATGTAGAAAAACGACAATCTTAACATAACCGTTCGCAAGATTGCCTATATAGGTTCATAGATATTTGAAATTTCATCCTGGAGAGAAAGATTGAATCTATACTTCACCAGTTCCTGGTCCAATAGTACGATCGTACTTGCATGTTCACACGTTTACGGCTCCCTGAACGATATATTTTCTCAGAACGTTTTCGCAACCTGCTATGATCTTATATTGGTTAGTACATTGCGTTGCGGCCGAAGTAACCCATGTTGGGATCCTAAAGCCCCGTTTACACTAAACTGAATTTATTGGCACAACACGGGAGAAATGAGTATACCCGTGCCCAATTTTATAGTGTTCAGACTTCCAAAACAAAGGCCTGGCGCAAATGAAATGGGCACGGGTACCCATTTTAGGAGTGCAGTGCCGATAAATCGGTACTAGTGTAAACGTGGCTTGTGTCACAGCAATAATTCCAGTACTCCCGAGTCTCTTTCAAAAATGTCCTTCAATTGATGATTAATCTCTTCTTACAAAATTAATTTATTACGACTCTCGTTGATGTTCAAGTGATTCTGTGTTTTATTGAAGTTAGAACATCTGCAGTCTCTGTGGCACAATCGGTAAGTGCGTTCGTTTGTTAACCGACACGTTGATGGTTCGAACACGTCATCATCTACATACCGATAGGCTGAAGTATTTTTATATTTTTTTTAGATCCAGAACCGTTATCTACCCGTCATTTTTATAAAAAATTCTGTATTAAGAAGTGCATAATTCTCAACAGGGGCACGTCATCAACTGAATACCAATAGGTTGAAGTATTTTGACGACACGGGCTTGTGTAAAAAATCATCTCTCAGAATGTTTTACAAATCTGCTGTGATTATAGTAACCCAATTTCAGAACCTGGTCACGACAATGTGCAGTTGCTCCTGCTGCCGCTCCCGGCGTCTGTTGAGTGTTTTACAATGTTATTACTATTCAATTATTGTTTAGTTAGCTATGTTCAATTATTAATCTATTAATTAGCAAAGGATGACTTAATCAAGAAATAGCGTTCTACTTGTTGTAAATACATAATATATTGTTATTGTCAGTGTTTTATTCACGGAAAAGCAAATGCGACTTAATTTTCAACAAACCTTAATTACGTTCAATATTTCGCAATTCATGTTTTACATATCCGGGATTTATTATGCTGTTTGCAATTATCTGTACGTACTCTTTACTAAGGCCTGTTAATATGGATAAATTTTCCCACCAGCCAAATTGTTTTGTTCTGTTAATATGGCGAAACTTTATCCCACATTCTCCCGCAAACCAGGTAAAGTTTTCAGCTGGGACGTTCCTATATTCCTGGTTTGCCGAAGTTTGTGACAAATTAACGAAGTTGTTGACATGTACAAATGAAGTTGATCATGGGCCTGTTGTGTAAAAGACAAGTTAACTTTTAACTGCATGTATATATAGTTAAAGACAATCACGCAGAGTCGTATGTTTCTGAATTAACTAGGATTTATCCTTGCAAAATGTATATAGTTGAGTTTGATACAACCGTTCCCACCTCGACAAGCGGGAAAGTATACGTTCACATCAGGAAAATATTACCCCGCTTGCCGAGATCTTGCCTTTTATCAAGCAAGATCCTGGTAAGCGGAAGAACATTTTGTGTCATGTAAAAGCAATCAAGTTTATATGCTATCATTTGTTAATAAGTCGAGATCTCGCTTGAAAATTTGCCGAAAATTTCCCTTGCTGACCGAGAAAACTTTTGCTGATATGAGAAGGCCGTATAAGGGAATTGAATTTGATGTCGGAAATATGTGCATGTGAATTAACCAAATTTCTTTGGAGGACAAAAATAGTGAGCAAGAAAGCTTTCACATATCCGTCGGCCCCGAGCAAACTGCATGACACACAGGAAGCAGCTGATTTTCAAAGCCAAAGGGCATTTAACAACAAAAAGATATTCGGACATGATATATTTAAATATTTTACACACTTAAAGAATTAATGATTTCATTTATTTGTCTGTACGAGAGATAAGCAGCTGATAGGAATCTTGCGTTTTTATAACGATAAGCTTTTAAATCTAATATCCGCCTTGGCAATTTATTCCATTTTTTTTCGCCAGATTAACCGATATTTTGTGGAAAAAGATTTAAACTCGCGTAGTATTTTCTACCAGGCAAAACGTTAGCAAGGCCCGGCCCCGCTGTCTAATGCCAATATATAATTATATATGGATCCACTTCATGAGTACAACATCATTTTAGGCTGCATGGCCAGCAAGTACAAAAATAAGTACTGAGCAAAATCCGGACGGTCGCATCGGAACCAACGTATACGAACCTATATAATGATATGAAAACTTATCTACTTGTTGAGGATAAAAATACAAAAAATACATACTGTCGAAATTGATCTTAAAATTGAGGAGCGATTTTTAAAATAATACTGTTCCTTATAAAATAAATCGAAAATTCAAACAAGAAAAAAATGCATTAAGCTGTTCTAATTGGCTATTCTATACTGCAAAAGTTTTTGGATTTATAAAAGCGCTTGTTATAGCTTGAAACCCGTAATCCCTTTCGCAAACAGAATTCAAAGACGAGTTCAAGGTTAAAGTTTTGAAGAGACAACTTTTTGAGTTGTCAGTATCGAAACCACACCAAATTCAAATAACAGTTAGCCTGTTAGAGATATTCTGACAAAACAAAAGTGCATGGCGGAGATTCTTAGCTTTGAGAAGTTAGCTTTAAGATTTGTAAGATTTGTATTATAGTGTAGCTCCATGCCCTTCCGAAAATTGCACATAACGATTTGTTTAATATGTTTAATATGAAATGTTTAATACAAAATTATATGAAACCTTGTGTGGAATTGAAACACTTCACATATGAAAATTGCATATGCGAAATCATTTCATATAAAAAAATTATAATTTTTACCGGCCAAGAATATTTCATATATGAAATGATTTCAAATCTGAAACACTGCATGTGTAGAACAGTACCTTCAATGATAGTACGAATACCTGACTATAGGACACAATGTGTTTTTCAAACCACAAATAACCACAAATTATGGGACTGTGAACGACTGGTAGGCGTAATTTATGGTCAAAATAGAGATCATTCGAGCGATAATGACATCCATATTACTGTCTCGTCAGACCGTGGGCAAAACTTCCGAAAACAAAAAATTGGAAAAGTAGTAAATAATTGAAGATAAGCATTGGCGTATATCGATAATTTGTCTTAACTTGCACGGAAAGTTGTGTGCTCAAATCAACTGGCCTACTTTTATCCCTGTTATATAGAGCTCTCAACTTCAAACTCCGCGGATGAAATGATCCCAATTGTCTATTTATCCAAGAGGATGAATAGAAAAATCGTGATGGAGGGGATCATAGAGGGAATGTCGAGGATCCCCATGCAGTGAAAAAAAAATTTAATTTTATAAGTTCCTGCAAATGCAATCTTACGCGTTTGGGGTTCGAACACTGTAATCTGTATAGTGACTGAAAGAAAATATTTGCATGGCGCTCGCCTTAACGATCTTTGCAAATTGCGTGGTCTTATAGGGGCGATTTGCACATTTTTGACAGCGGCGAAATGGGTTATACATGCATGGCATGCCGTGGATGTGAGCTCTGTTTCAAAAATCCGAAATATCGCACAATTGATCAACTAAAATTTTTGTCCATAGTTTGGAAGGCAAAAAAGGTTAGGTTTGTATATGTTTTTTCTTGCATATATTATAAAACAGCTGTTAATAGTTTTTATAGCGTACAAGCCTGCAATTTAGCGGAGGAGTATTATATTCTACCACGCAGTCGCCCCCGTAAAATATATTGAGAATTATCATGATATACAACCGAATGTTATATACATACTTGAATATTAATGAAAGTTTGCATGCAAGAACAGTGTTGATTGGTTTTCACAGCAGACATATGAACATTGTAATGAATATTAACAAGTTTTCAGTTCCAGATTGGAACAGCTGCCCGGAAGACCGTTCTAATTTTAATACTAGACGTTATTCTTTGATACAAAAGTTGTATTGGGATTTGAATCTTGCGGTCTGAACTTCTCGTGAATTCCAACAAAAAGCACCGACGGATTTGACCGAGAACATACGAAAATGTGCGAGAAACGATGTTAATTTGACGTGATTACGCCGGGCAGTTAATGAATGACGTTATGCAAATGTGGGGGAAGTAGCGATCGTTCGCGAGACAGCAAACTGCTAAAATATTTAAGAGGACATCTATTGATGAAATTGGGTTTGAACGAATTCAAAGCGTCCGGGGAGATATAGTCTTGAAGATTAAATCGTATCTGGATTTCGCTTGCATCAGCTTGTGCGTAAAGACGTCGTTAAACGAGTATCAGTGTGCCCGTGATGTCGTTAGCGACAGAAATAACAAGAAGAGCTTCTCGAGCATTTACAAAGGTAATACATCTGTTATTATTGTCAAATAACAAACCGCTTCTTTATTTGCAAACAAAATACTTTGGCCATCGGAGCTTTTAGACGAACAATCCGCATCTATACCGTTAGGTAAATTCACGATTATGAAACCAACTTGGTCAGTGTTCCGAGCGCTGTACAATAATATACTGTTCGAAGAAGATACTAAAACGTATTCAATATATTAAATACGATATATGAAAATAGCTGGATTTTGTTAAGATTATCTTAAAAATATATGCATATAGTAAAGGATTGAATGAGAATAGTATATGATTATATTACACCTCAAATTTAAATGAAATTTTTAAGTTTAAATATGTATATTATATATACTAAATATGGAATATGTACTATATATGCATGTAGATATTCTAAAGAACTGGTAGCATTGATACACGCTAGGAATATATTGAATGAATTTCTTAATAAACTTTGCAACAATTGCTCTTGTAAAAATTAGGTTTGAAATGTCCATTTGTGGTGAAATGAATTTGTCATCGCAAAATGAGAAGATGATTGGGCTGAACCATAGAGCAACGAGACACAAAAATATGCATGTAGGCGCATGTGATAATATTTGGCGATTAGCAGCTCGTATCATCATATGCAGCACAAGTTCGTAGTAGTTCATCAACTTTAAGTTTGTTTTCGTGCTGTATTGAAAATGAGCTTTCAAAACATATATATACCAATTGGCAATTAGACAGTCAGTTTATACAGGCAATTGCATGGACAGTCACAGTCCGAACACATTTTCTTTTTGACTTTTTGCTCCGCGTATATCCGGCATTAATTTATACATGATTGTCTGTGCTAAAAATACGAATTTTCAAAAGCTTTGGGAGCAAATATTTACCTTCCTGATCGTAAGAATGATGTAAAACAACAACACCGATTTTATGCACATCAGCCTAGAAAAAAAAGTTGGGAATGCCCATTTAACCTCATATTGTAATATCAATTAACACAACAGTTTTATCTACGTCAGAAACAGAGTTAGCTAGTCACGTTAAACTAAAATACGTAGAATTCTTATCATAATAATTTTATGTGCAAAGATGTTCAGCTAAGGCTCTCGTAAAATATTTATTAATGCATATGCTTCAGTTCGCTTAAGCTGAAAAGGAAATGCTAGTTCATATTGCTGTAAAATGGATTGTATGATAAATTATAGTAATGTGATGGCTAATATGGCGAGAGGGATTGTGAGAAGGTGTAAAAATTAGAATAGTTTGCTGGTTAAAATAATTTAGTCCCTTTTGAAATATCTTTATTTCGGTTTTGAACTAATGTCAGCTATATAGAGCAAAAATTCTCACAACCAATCATAAATAAAAGATAGTAATTACAATCGATTGAATGCCATATAGACTGGTTTCGATTTCGACAACCCTATAGTGAGCGTTAATTGGCTGAAACGTACGAGCACGTGATCACTAGAAGTATTTTGACAAAAGCATAAGCACCAGAAAAAAATAAAGTGTCTCCAACAGAATTTGCACGTTCCTTCCTAGGTTGTTTTGAGATCATACAATAAAAAGCAATTGATATTACTCAGATATCGGCCAATTACCGCTCCTAAGTACGGCTGAATCCGTTTTGTCTAAGAATAAACAAAAATCTACGAGAATGAACTTATCATTATCACAATCTTCCATGTCTTTTCTTTCAAACTTGCCGTCGCCAAAACATACATAGTATTAAATACTTTGATGCGCTAGTTATTTATCCTAATAAAATAATACGCATGCAAATGCAAATCGCCACTGACTACATTTTATTTAGTCAGTTCGGTAAAAAATTAAAAATCTGATCGGTATGAAATTTTTAAAATCCGTTTCTTTTTTTAATGATATGCTTACTTTTTGTTAAATACCCAGACATTATAATATATGTTGATGAAACATGTACAACCCAACCGACAACGGGAATCGGCATCGCCACTGGTTCGATAGTTCAGATATTTTTCTAAACACGAAACTATGTTATGCATGTTATTTTGCATATGAAATTACAAAAAATGCCTATGTGACTCTAATGTTATTTGAATTTTCCATGTTTTAGGCTGATTTAGGCTTTGTTTCAACCTACGACACACCAAAAACAAGGCCAGTCATATTTATCGGTCCATCTCTTAAAGGATATGAGGTTTGTGTTTGAATACACTATAGAATTTTCCAGAAATTCATGATGATATTAATTATAATAATAATAAAAAAGTGATTCTTCATACATTATATAATTATTTTCCTTTTCCCTGAATATATTATACGGGGTCTACCGATGTAGGTCAAGCCAATACTGTGAAATAGAGATGAGAAAAGGGATATTTTAAAAGCCTATAATTTATGAATCCTTAATTTGCATTTTACATAGTACATAACGGCAAATAACAAAATTCTATTGCAAAATACATGCATATATTTTTGTAACGTTTTCCAGCGTAATAGATTTACTTGGGTACTTAAATATGGGCTAACTGATTACGTTCAAATGTGTATAAATTACTACATACGGTTGAATAGCTCTATTGAATTTGTGGTCTGCAACAGTGCCTGAAGATATCGCTTTTTGTAACTAATTTCTGTCAAAAAATCCGAAACTCGAAAAAAAAGAAAGTTCTCGAAAAAAAAGAAAGGTCTTCAATTAATTACATAATAACAATTTTCGGTTATATGGGCGCTGGTTAAAGTAAAGCTACTTGTTTGATACAGTCATCACGAAAGCAATTCAAATAATTCATGTCATCTTTTCAGGTTACAGATATGATGCATAAAGCCTTGTACCATTATCTAAAAGGGCGTTTTGAAGGACGGTAAGAGATTACGGTATTTTATCCGTAAAAGAAGAAAAATATGTGCATGGGCACAAATGCTTTCAACTAAATTTTTTTGAAGTCAAAATAATAATCTATTTACTAAATTCAAAATCTAATCGGTACGTGATTCCATGCATCGTTGCGTTTGTTAAATACACGCTGAAAACACACGATGGAAAAAGGTATATATCATTTGCAAATTTCCATCACTTAGTGCGAAGGCATAGCTAGATTGCATAATTGAGGGGGATGCATATGTAAATAATATTCATATATTTTTGTTTATAAACCGTAGAACAGTAGCTTTCCAATGAGATAAGTCAGGCAAAAGACGAACATATGAATACGTAATACCCGCCAGCCTCTAGCTATCGCCCTGGTTTAGACAAATATGATACACAAATATTTTTGCGTCAATCATAAGTAAAAACTTGCGAAAAAATTAAGCTGCCGCTTGTATAGAGAATAGGGAGTTTTAACAGTGACTACTGCAAGTACGAGTTTCGTGAGGTGGCGTAGGCAAACAGCACAGAGTTTGACGCGAAAAAAACGAGTCGTAGTCGCTATACCGCCACCTTAAGTACAACCAAATAATGTTATCTACCCAATTTGACCGTGCAGAATTGAAAAACATAATTAATTTTTTTCAAAATTTGTTAGATTGATCATTCATCGTTGTGAATCTGACATCAGTTTGGCGAAACGGAAACCTCTCATTGGACTTGGAGCTATTACGCCAGAGAGATTTGGAAATTCATTGTCCGTGACGCCATTTAGAACACCGAGTCCTCCAAAAACACAAAGTAATCTCAAAAACGGTATGTAGCGATATTAATCCAAGATAAAACAAGTAAATGTAACATAGAAGAACGACTATCATGCATGAAAATACCCTTTGCAGCTTATACGTTGCACATATGAGACCCTACAGTTGTTATTCTGCAGAGGATAAGTCTAAAGGCAGCGATGTTTTGAAGATGTTTCAGCTAATTGAGCGCTCAAGCCTCAAGGAATCACTAACATAATCTGAGGAAAGTATTTTAATCAGACTTTGGCCCCACAGCACGGCAAAAATGTATATTGGTATTATAGTGCCCTTCCACTTTTCATGACCCGATTATTTCGTTGCTTTACAGTCCTATTTTATCACTTGCTTCCCATTTAAGATCCGTACAATACATCTAACAAGCAGTGGTGCATGTGACTAGAAGTGGGGGGGGGTGCATTCGTATTCTCAGGACAGTCGGTGGAGCACGTGTCGAATATATTAAAAACGCTCCCTCCCTTTTAGTTAACCGTAAAGCTTTACTCCCTGGGAACAAGCTGAGGAATTCTGTTCTAATTCAAACTTTTTTACAGATGAAGTGAAGGAAGAGCTAGATGTGATATTCAGTTTGCTGAATGAAAAGAAACACTTGGTTGTGTTGGACTGCAAGTCAATTAATTATCCCTCACAAATCAGCGAGAGTGCGCTCACGCCTATCGTGGTCTACATCAAAATAATACCAAAGGTAGTCTTCTCAAATCTTAATTAGCTACTAGCTCTTAATCATGGAATCTTTGGTTATTTTTGGAATAGTTCCACCGCTTTAATGTAGATAATATGAGCAAATAGATTCCATTTGGTGCAAAATGTCTCGTTATCGAATTTTTCCCATCCCAACAGTGAAGTGGAACTTGACCGCATAATTTAACACATTTTAAAAGATAGCAACAACCCAGTAACGATCGCGAGACATTTTCCATTTTCTATGTTCCATGGCGTCTCAGCCATTTCTCAGCCATTTTCCAAATTACGTCGTTGAAGGTGAACTGCTCACGATTGCGACAACCACGACTTACTAGAAATTTGGTTTACAAACATTTTATAAATTATGCAGTTAATCTTAGCGTCTGCACGCCTATCCGACGAAATCGTACGTGTCTATACACTCTAACCGCAAAAATTTGAATGACGTAAATCGGTGAAATTTATTATCCACCTACTCAAGACGCCACAGTGAACTGTGTAAAGTCTAAAGTCTAAAGACTGGAACGATCCATGAGAAATATTGATCGTCTTATTTGCAGCGAATTCAAAGCGAATTAGAAGTCGCATTTAGTACCAGCGCCAGTCTTTTTTATGTCGATAAGATCGTCAAAGACAAAAACAGATATCATTTCCAGCAATATTATTTTTATTCAATCGATTACCGCAATCCGGTTCATAGAACTATATAGTAGACGTAGTCGGTCATCGCCTCTTGATATTTGGCACTTCTTGAAACGGGAATTCACGTCTCGGTTTAAGACCAACGCGTCCGTTGGCCTGCGCCACGGACTTGAATATTCTTAAGTGGGGGTGGGCTAATATTCATATATTCGTGTTAACAGACGGTGAAAACAATCAATTTGACAGGAAGCTAGTATACGTGTGAAGAACACGGATATAATATGAAGCACTCCCCTCCAGTTTAAGGATTTTCCGTGATCGAAAGGGTAAAATCGGTGTGAACAAAGGTTGTTTTATAAGATCGATTCCCGATTCGTTTTTATAGGTGGTGGAAAAACTGATGAAACTTCGGGGACAGAAAGCATCGAAGAACTCGAGTACCCAGATATTTGCAGCTAGTAAACTGGTCCAAGCCGATGCGGTATGGTAGTCAGATTTGAATTAGGATTGGGTCACGCATCTGCATGCGGTGATTGATTGAAGGCAATTGCGGTTATGTTGGATCGCCCTATGCAAAACTAATTTGCTATTCACCGTGTTCTCACATGCAGTGGTCAAACTAATTGAACCAGATTGTGTGAACAGACCTTTTTAAACATGATGCTATATGGATGAAATATTTTTAAGATTTCTTACCCGCAGAAAAAATTTTTGACAATTTTCAGTTTTTTTCAGACTCGTTTGCGTATCAATAAATTCTTGAAATACTTCTCTTTTACTTCTAGGACATGATGGATGTGATACTCGACGAGCCACGTCTGGAAGAGGCATGTGAACATCTTGGTGATTTCCTGGAACAATATTGGAGTGATATCACTAGATATGATTGATGCTGCTTAATTGTAGAAATCTATATATGGCCGATTCTTAGAAATCGGAACCGTTTTCATGCTCGATATCGTGGGTTTATAAACCGAATGGAGTGCGAATTTGCTGCAAAATTACCCTCCCACAAAATTACCAGCTTAGTATAGTGAATGGATTTCTCACGGAAAATCCAACCCGTCTGTTACATATAGTCGATAGAAATAATATGCATGAACGTGTCATTTTCCTTTCTAACTGACGATTGCCTCTATTGAATCGATGAACTGCCTTAAATTGGAAACTCTAAAATTTCCCCCCAACAATTTATTTATAACAGTATCAAGATTTATCAAATATTTATGAAAATATTTAATCTATTTAGAGATATAATTAACTCAGAAATTATAGCTATTTTACTCGCCGTTACGGTGGTCTAAGGCGAGCCTTGATATGAGAATGAAAATCAACCTCTAAAATGGCAACGATCGATATTTATCAGAAAGGAGATTTACATCCTTGCATACAGTGTAGTATTCTATATTCTTTCTCAGTATATTTATGCTGATTTGACGTGTGAAAAACATAGTAGTACGTACTGCACTTGATTACATTGCTTTGTCAAAAGTAGCATATAGTCTCAATTACCAGCCAGTTTAGTATCCCGTGTGTGGCCTAGGGCGAGGACAATATTTATGGAGCAAATCATTATTGTTGTGTATACTCTTGTACAGTATAAATTATGTATACTTTGAATATAAATTTGTAAATAAAATTCCTTTGTTTAACGAATTATCTCGCAAATTATAGGTAAAGCCACTAATATTTCATGTTATGAAGGGTTGTTGGTAACTGCAGGTGCTTAATAACAGGAATTTCTCGATTCGGGGGCGAAAAAGCGTAAGCCATAAAAATGTGCATGCAATGTGTTTTTCTATCACAGCTTTGTATTTTTTCTGCATTTATGTTCTTAATGTAAATGACTTTATTAAAATTGGTCTGTCTATTGGGCTTATAAAAATGATACAATATATTACTGAAACAGGAAGTAAACTGTAAAACCCTGTCCAAGCCGGGGTTAAAATATATACTATTTTACAAAGTTGGAATGAAGTAATTGATTTGATAGTTCTTGTTAGGTGTTCTTGTTGAATTATTATTATATATGGATCTGAGTTGTCACCTGGCGTACAACAGGAATGTTTAAATCAGTTAATGATGCTGTACATTGGACATATTAAACAACAATGTCATCAGGTTCATTGCAATGAGAAATGAGCTGTATATTTAAGGGGGGATCTGGACCTCTAGGAAAAATTGTTTAGAACTGATATGTTTATCGTTTACCTTGAATTTACTTTCAATGCTATCAAATGCAAGTTTTGCTGCTGCTAAAAAGTTATTAGCTTCTTGTTTGTTGGGAAAAAGACTTTTAAGAAAACTGTCTTTACTGTTGCCTAGAATTACTTCAAGATCACTATGTATGTAGAGCATCGTTATTCTTAGCAATAAATTCACTTATCAATATTCCGCAAAAATAATACACAATTATAAACTAGGGTCACATTACATTTCATTTCTGCACTCTTCTTACCAGGAAAATAATTTCCCAATTCCCGTGCACTTTCTAAACGCCTGATTCTGTTTCAAGACACGTTCGTTGAAAATTTTTTTTTCGTTGTAGTAGTTATTACAGAACTGCTCAAAACTGTTCAAGTTGAACCTTGTAATGACAGCAGTTCTTACTTGATATCGCCGGGGCCTAATGCTCCAAGCTGTTTAACCTCTGACATGAATCTCGCGGTCAGCGCTGTCTTCAGCGCGGGTGCATTGCAAGCTAATGGGTTAACAAAAGACACGGGACAGATAGTTAGGTTAACTTATTAACTGACAGTACTCTACCACTGATGAGTAAAATCATGTGACATTAGACAGAGTAAAATACTAAAGTAGGTCACTTCTGGCTATATTCATTATCCAATGAAACACTGTCTTTTTCAACTGTCTTTTCGTTATACAATGAAACACTGGTAGTTTCAACTTGCACAGATCTAGAATAAACATTATTGTTTATTTCCGTTTCAGCTTGTTTAATTTCTTTATCATTTCCAAGAACATCAAACACTTCAGACATTTCATCATCTGAGCTGTTATCACGATCAAAGACTCTGGGTACGAGGTTATGATCACGATCTTGAGATGTGACTGATGAAAGACGAGCTAAATCATTACAATCACGTTTGTCGGTTGTCTTTCTGTGTTGTTTTGATGGGGTGCATGTTTCCTCTTCTGAATCAGGGTCAATTATTTCTTCTTGTAGCTTCAAGAAGCAACAATTGATCCAGATCCTGAAAAAAGTTTTTGAGCATTTTTGTTTGTTGTCCAAGTTACTACTTTCTGAGTTAGATTCCATGTCAGTTGTTTCTAGTTCTGATGCTTTTGATCTTCTAGAATCCGAAGTTCCACTATACTATCCGCTCCAGCACCAAGTCTGTTGCTTGCTCTGCCTAGATTTATTATCTGTGATCTTTTCAAGTAGATGTACTTTCTATTCAGCTCTGTATGACCATCCATCCCCTTCTGAATCAGTCATGGCCAGTAGTTTTAAAAACTTGATCTTTTGAAATTTATTTTTAAAGATCGAAGTTTTTAAAACTACTAGCACTGAATGTAATCTCCTTTAACATTTGGACTACAATTGTCTCCTTCAGATTCAACCTTTTTTTTTAGTTGTTGTCCTATTTGAAGACCTGGATCGTAATGAGTAAATATTTGCGCTTCCTGTTGGAACAGTGATCATCTTTCAACTTTTTAAACTTGCTTTGTCTTTGTATTAAATCTATCAGACTCATATCGTTAGAATCACTGTCTTCAATCTTGGGTCTTTTAGAACTAAAGATTTTTTCTGTCTTCACTCTCTCAGAACTAGTATCTTCATCGGAACTACTAGAAGATACTATGTTATCTTTTTTCGTGCTACTGTCTCTGGTTTTCGAACGTTTTAACTGGCCCCGTCTTCGTAAGATTTTCGTAAGATAGCAATGCCAATGAAGACAGTAATTTACGATAAATTATTGTCTTCATTGGAATTGCTATCCATTATACTGCCAGTCGAATAGTATAGTCTTAATTCTTTGCGGTTGAAATCTTCCTTTTTTGACGAGGAAATCCAAGTAAAATGCTTGAAAATATCGGTCATTATAAAATAAATTCAATATTTCCAGGGGCGCCGGAAGAAGTTTAGAGCGGCGAGGGCATTTGTATTTCATTTTATCTTAGCAGCGACACGAAGAGGAAACTCAAATTTATAATTACATGCGAACATAAGTGGATGTTTCTCTTTACAAGTACATTAATTGCAAATCCACGGGAGAACGTATTTTCAACAAGACGTGCATGTGCCAGTCTTCAAAATAAAGCTTCGGAACATAAACAATACAGTTCATACTCATTTAGATGCCTTGCGAACCTAAATGTTGTTCGATCGCGAAATTCAGAAGCACATCGCACTTTAAAAAGTATATATAGACTTTATAGCAGTTCAATTGATCAAAATGTAAATAAACCGCAGGATACGTTCACTTTGTCTTAGACTTTGCCTTTGGAATTCACGCTTATATAGTTATATTAAATCTTCAATCCTGTGCAAACTGCGACTAAGCCTAAGGGCCTAAGGCTAAGGCCGTATTCTCTGGCACGAAGTCACTTAGAAAAACGATTTTCGTTGCCCCCCTTCAGGCACCACTTGAAAACACCATAGAAAATTAGGATAAATAAAGTCTAAATTCACTTCTTTTCACCTTCACAAACCTGCAGTTTTCGAGCATTTCATCTTCGAAAAATAACTGAATTTGCATGTTTCACAATACATCGACGCCATTTTGATTCAGGAAATGTTAATGATACTTGGTGTAATATACTACATATATAGCAGTACTATAAATATAGCACTGAGTATTAAAATACTAGTATATTTCGCGCCAAACACACTTTTGACGACGACAAATAAAAACATAACATAACATATTTATAACCAAAGCTGCAAAAAAACTAATTAGCTGCCTCCTCTTGGTATAAATGTGATAATTATTATATATAAATCAGGTGGGGATGTTTATGTGCATCCGATCGAGTAATAAAAATGACCAGATCTCGCCAGACTGCCGACCCCTTCCTCCGCCCTAGCATAAAAGAATACATCTGCACGAGAGGAAGAGCAATCTAATAGGACTTTACATTTTTAAACCTTCTGTCATTTTTAATAACTTATACCTAAGTATGACATTCTAAATCACGCACAGAATTAACCCAAAATACACGCGAAAAATCATTATGTTGATGTAAATTGTTGAAAACAAGAGTGAACAATGTTGTGCTGCACCCTGTGAAATACATTGGCTCCAATTATACCAGAGACGGATCATCCGTGACAGTCTAGACGAACTTGGCCTTGGGCAAGTCTCTAGTTTGTCTGCTTGTAAACACGGGCAAACGGACGAATCCGCGCCGTCAACACAAGTTATCCGGATAGCTCGTCTATTAAGACGAATTTGAATGGGTACTTCGTCGAGACGCATCATCCGTCTGGTCGTATAAATACGAGAAGGGACGAACTACGGAAAATTTCGTCATAAAACGGCGTTGTGCACAAAGATTTATTGATTAAATTATTTAAATAATATTGAAACAGATGCATGGATAATATTGAAACAGATCTATCCGGAAAGTCTAGTTTGTTTTTCTCACGGGTGCATGTGTACATCTTGCAGGACAACCTCCTGCAAGAGTGAACAACATTTTGATGACTATGCAGAAATGACATTTATCAAACATTTATCACGAAAGTGAGCCCTGCGTGCTATGGTCTCGTTTCACGCAAAGACAATTTTAACTAAAGACATGGTTTAACCAAACAGTTGTATTCCAAGGAAGACTGTTCTATTTATCGTAATTAAAAAAGCGATCATGAATGCCATATTAATAAAAACATCGATAACCACGCTAGAATAAGCTTGACTTTTGGAATAAGCTTAATTTCCTTTAGCAAAGAGATTGCGTATTTCAACGTATACAGCGCTGTGCATCGGGCATGGATGCATGTGAGTTAATTTGCTACGAAACTACTGGTTGGTGACTAAGGCCATTGGAATTTGCAATATGGTGACTGGAAATTGGCGATTCTTTAGTATCTTCAGCAAGAGCTGACTTTGAGTCCTATAGATCCAAAAATTAATAACACAATCAATGAGAAATGCTGATAATCACTTCTGACAGGAGAGAGTATATATCAATGCAATTTTGCAATTTTACTAATTTCAGTCAGGAGCCAGTTGTATAAGAGACTAGTTAACTTTTAACAGTAGCTAAAGACAGAAGTGGCCAATAAGAGTCGTGTAAACACTTCTCCACATTTCGACCTGAGGGCCTTCGTCATGCAGGAGAACTCTCCTGTCGAAGGCCTCAGGTAGAAACGTCGAGAAGTGTTTTGTCTATTTTAGGCAGTTGTATATACCACATTTGATGCTAAGTTATTTGAAGACGCTGCCATACGCTGAACCCTAGTTATATGCCAAATGTGAAGAGTTTAACCGGCCCCGAGTCATTAAAAGAATGATTATACGCTTTTTCCAAAATAAAAACAAACATGAGTCTTTGATGCACTAATTCAGTAATGTCTGCATGTTTAGCTTCTGAACTACAGGGTGTATAAAAAAAATGTCCCAAATGTAAAATTTCCGTTTTTGAGGATATTTTGCAGAATTTGGCAAATTTTTGTGTTCCTAGAGATAGTTAAGACTTATCTGGTATACCTAGGCCAAGTTTGGTTTTTCATTAACAAAATTATGTTACCGGGGGGGGTGGTTCCTTTCCACTGATATTGAAAGGACTTGCGCGCGAAAATGTGAAGCTGAAATTGGGATATTATTTCGCTGTCTAAAAGTAGGAGAGCTTTTTAATAAACTGTCAAAGTTTCAGGAAAAATAATGCAAACTGGGAGCAACGCGCGACCCCTAAAAGTGACAAATATTTCATTGCGCGCAGTGGATTAAATGCATCGTTGATTTTAGCGTGACCGATCTCATGCAAATGAATAAATTAAAGCAAGAAACTGAACAAGAAGACGAAGCGATTTAATAACAAGATTTTTATTCTTGATGTTAATCCTCAACATTTCCACCATTTATTTCTAAGGCAAACTGCGGCTCGTCTGAGCATGGTAAACACTGAACGGCGAACCACATTTGTCTGTCCTGCCTCCTATTATCCATTTCGTTCGAAATTTTTTCTTGCAAATCACCTACGCTACCACCGGCAAATCTAGGCGAATGGACAGACAAATGGTTCGCTGTTCCGTGTTTCAGTATGCTCAGACAAGCCGCAGTTTGCTTAGAATGAAATGGTGGACATGCTGAGGATTAACATCACGAATAAATCTCTTTGTTTTTGTGTTCAGTTTCTCGCTTTAATTTATTTATTTGCCAAGTCTTGCATGAGATCGGTCACGCTAAAATCAACGATGCATTTAATCCACTGCGCGCAATGAAATATTTGTCACCTTTAGGGGTCGCGCGTTGCTTCCAGTATGCATTATTTTTCCTGAAACTTTGACAGTTTATTAAAAAGCTTTCCTACTTTTAGACAGCTAAATAATATCTCAATTTCAGCTTCACATTTTCGCGCGCAAACCCTCTCAATATCAGTGGAAAGGAACCACCCCCCCCCCGGTAACGTAATTTTGTTAATGAAAAACAAAACTTGGCCTAGGCATACCAGATAAGTCTTAACTATCTCTAGGAACACAAAAATTTGCCAAATTTTGCAAAATATCCTGAAAAACTGAAATTTCACATTTGGGACATTTTTTTGATACACCCTGTAGAATCATGGGTATCAAGAAATGTATGAAAAGTTGAAAGCCGTTTTCATACAGAAATATACCTTCATGAAGTTTGATACCTTGTATAATTTATATGGAAATAGTTATGCCATTTACAATTTCATATAGTTAGTAAACAGCAAAGTTTTTATATTTCATGCATTTCCAAGACAATGTGTATAGAATATTTAACGAAATGGGCTTATTTGATACCCACCCGAGTTATTAAATTAACATCATATTATTCGTAAAAAATAAACGCTACCTTGTTTTTGCTAAACTGGCAATAAAGCTTTTCCACAAAAAATCCAACAAGTGAATGAAGCATGCCTGAAATTATAAGAAATTCACCCATCAATGATATTTCATTTTAAAATTTTAGAAAATACAAAAACACTGCGATATTTTGACCTATATCACTAGTAGCTATAGGAATAAAAGTATATCATTTCTACCCTATAAAGAAAAATCACCGAGAAATTTGTTCATTGCACGATATATATTAGTTTTTCTAACAGTTCCAATAGAATTGGGAGTATCCTGATATTGGGTGAAAGCATTTTTTTGTGCACCATTTCAATTAATTGGTGGAATTTTTCAATGACGGGGGGAATTACAAAATTGGTACTCGCTGCAGAGGAGACATGCACGTGCTGATCCCTGATATTTACCGGGCAAGGAGAGTTTTTGTGGGTATGTCGATAAAGTAACGATTGAAAATCTCCGCAATAGTCGAGTTGTAATCAAGAAGTTTTCTTGTATATTGAAGAACGTTTCTGAACTACACTTGACTGACACGCTATCCGAATTTGACACCATATTCTATTTGCCAGGCTTCTTCCTATAATTATCTCGGAAATTCGATGAATAACCAATACACAGGTGATGCAAATGAAGTAAATAATAGCTTCATTTTCAACAATTTACGATTTCGAATTGATCGCTTTTACGCGATGTGAGATTGCTTGGATGCAAGAAAGAGTAACATTTTATGGAAGCTTTAAAATATAGCTATACACATACGAAAATGATATGGCAATAACAAATAATATAATGTCATCTTACCAGATGTTGCGAAAATTCCACCGACGATTCCACAAAGTCTGACCAAGAACTGCCAAAATGGTCGATGAACTTCCCTCACCCGAACCAAAATTGATGAAAGATCGTACTTAAAAAACACTCCTGTACAAAAAAAAGAATGATATAATTATCCACCACACGAACCTCAACAAGTTAAATTTTAAACATGTGTGTCCTTATCATGGACTTCACGATCAGGGGCCGTTATATCAAGCCCGTTTACCATAAGCGGTGGTTAAGTTCAAAATAGAAATCAAGTCTATCGTTTTATTCAACAAGCGAACTAAATATTTTCATCTTTATACAAAGATACTGCCAACAACTACATTTTCAGAGTAATTATACTGCATTTATAAATGTGCAAGACTGCATACTACATCTATATATGGGCTGGTGTCTTCTAGGATATTCTGCCAGGGAGTATTGTATGTAGAGTTTAGAGGTTTGTCCAATACTGTTTGATATTATTTTACAATATACTGCAGCTTTTACGAGAACGAAGAATTGATATGATCTCACAATAATTATATACTGCGGCTTTTACGAGAACGAAGAATTGATATGATCTCACAATATACTGCAGCTTTTACGAGAACGAAGAATTGATATGATCTCACAATAATTATATACTGCGGCTTTTACGAGAACGAAGAATTGATATGATTTCACAATATACTGCAGCTTTTTAGTTTTTACGAGGAAGAATTGATATGTTTTCAGTGAGCGTGAATGTCCATGCTCAGGTTGGAGTTCATGCATGAAACGAAAAATACTAATTACCGATAGTGAATAATCTTTTCCGTCGGTATCCTTGCGGGAGTATTGAACATGTATGAGAGTAACTACATGTCCAAATGCACTTATTTAAGTATGGAAAGTGATTTTAGGTACAGTTGTACAGTATTTGCAGAAATATCAAAATAACCTTACCTGAAACACCGTGGCTTCCTCCTGCATGATTAATTTTTCGAGACTAAAAAAATGAGATCAGATTACAACAGTTTTAAAGATTAAACACAACGTCTTTGGACATTTACAGCAATAGCCACTTCTCATGTAGTATAAACTACATTATATCGACTAACGCAAGGTTATAGACAGCGGGTGAGCGATACAATAGGGTTCTTTATTCATGTGAGCTTAAATCAAACCTTGGCCACACGGGCAATTTTCGACAGCGACCGTCTTCTCCTGGTGTATGTTATTGAGTAAATTCACCAGTTTACTTCTCCCCGCGCTTGCTTATATTTCAGTACATGCATGCTGATTCTTTTATGCCATCAAATGGTAGAAAGGAAGAACAGTGGAAAATAGTGGGAAATACATTACTCACCCTCTGTGTTACAGAGTATTGGTTTGTCTTTAATTCATTTCGCCAACTTAGCATTTTGATACTTGTAGGAACGATCTATTTGAAGCAGATGGACAACATGTACATTAATTAACAAGATACATACTGCATGCAAGTTGTTTTTACATGCAATACCCTTGTTTTCGTTTTCATATATTGACTCAATAAACAATACTTTAAGGAATGCTCTTTTATAAAATATTTATTAAAACACCAGCATTAGTCTCGAAGAAGAAAACCGTTTGTTCTGGTCACAGACTAACTGGCACTGCATATGGCGCAAGGAAACGGCGTCTCAGGCGTATATAGCTATATAGGACGTTTTTACTGTAATCGATATCATAAAAAATAAACAACACAAATTTACCTTAATATAATAATGATAAGTGTGAAGATCTAAATTCAAAAAAATAAATAATTGATTTTTGTAGCAAGTCATAAGAACAAAGACTGCATTGGAAAACTCTGCACATGCCGATCGCTTACGCAATACCATTGAATGAACACCACATGATAATGATGGGCTAGATTTATAGCAGGCATACAAAGGTTCGCGCCTCTGCGAACCTGCCGCTGCCAGTTGTATAAAAGTGTAGTTAACTTATAACTGTAATTAAGGACAGAATTGGCCAATCAGAGTTATCTATTTCTGAGTTAACTAGAATTTAACAATGCAAAATGTAGCCACTGTAAAGTGTAAACGGTTTTACAAAGCTGGCGCCTAGTCACTAAGATTGCTAAAGGGATCGTAAAATATAATTCGTCCTGCTATATTTTATTGCCTTACTTAGATCACCACTGAATAATTGTGGGTGACCCGAATGTTAATGCTTAGAAAACTAGCTGTTTGTTATCAGTTTGGCCTGTGCCTTCATGTCAGGCATGCAAGATAATGCGATTGGTAAAAACTTACTGTTATGGGTAACTTGAATATCACCATCCAGAGCGCTAATAACTCCAGGCACACGAGGTCCAAAAGAAAGGTGATCAATACGATGTGTAAAATTATACTCTAAAACACAAAATAAGCTGGTAAATTTTGTGATCAAAAACTGGGAAGTTCAGCACAGATTTCGAACGAGGTTAAAGTGAAATGTAAAGCCCGCCGTGCACGAGAGCTATAGTATACCTTGCGAGGCTGTTAGCTAAGCAAGTTTCTCTCGTGTGCGAATAGTTTTCATGCGAAATCCGCCTCAGGAAGCAAGATTCTCGTGTGCGGATGGTTTTCGAACTGAGCTAACGGTCTCGTGAGGTCGTTAGCTCAGCTGATAGCTCTCGTGTGCGGCGGGCTTAACGCGTTACCAACGAATTTTATGCATCATTAGCAGTCGCGTGACGGAAATATTATACATACAAAGCCTCGTTTGTGGGGTAAATATACTTACTCAGACCTACGCAAAATAAACTAGCTGTAAAAATAAACCTAACTTGCGCTAAAAAGTTTCTTCAACACTTCCAAACAAACCGCGAAGACCCTCGTTACATGAATTTGGAAATTATATATCAATTTCGTCCGTTTCGGCCTTGGATCTCTTAACAGGAAAAGTTATATATAGCAACGTCGAAAACCTGCAGAACGAATCACAGATTTGGGTGAGAAAATAAAAAAGAACGAATTTTGGCCGGTTAAATGCGTGTAAATTCGCTCAGCCTGGGTAAACGCAGACGTGCAGTTAACAAGAAACATTCCTCGCAAACGCAAAATGATAAGAAACCCTGCACTTACCATTGGAAGGTACAAAGGCACTTAAATGAGCGTGACCTCTTGGATGTGGTATGGACCTGCATAGAATGAAAAAAAAACGAAGTTGGATTTTCAGTATAATTATTATATAGTATAGCGACAACCATGCAGTAAACTCTATATAACTAAATCGATAAAACCATTCAAGCCAAATTGAATCCGATTTCAAAACTAATCACTAATCGCTTATAAGTATAGTTTCAAAAAGGACCAGAGAGAGTGTCACGGAGTGACAAAGTATGTCTTTGAGCAAAAATGTAAAGACATTTTCCGTCTGATAAAAATAACTTCCACGCAGCCTTAAATTTAGCTATGTCACAAGTAGCCTAGTTGATAATATTTCCTGTTGTTCCATTATATAGAGGCATAAAATCGAATCAAAATTTGAGCCATTGGTGACGATTGATTTTTTTTTTAATTTATTCCAAAATGAAAAGAAATATATAGGTGTAGATCGTACAATATCGCCGAAGTATATTCAAATTCTTCCACTGTAGCCAGGTAAGTTTCTTTTTAAACTGCACGTTAATCAATTTTATACATACATTTACTTTTATGAATGTATTAAAACAGCCGAATTAAAACGGTATTACAACTGCCTAGAGTAGTTAGACAGCGGTGTTCAGGGGCCGGTTGTTCGAAAGGCGTTTAGTGGTGGATAAGCCGAAGTTTAAAAATACTCTCGTGCCTCTTTTGTATGACCGAACCTGCATTTTATGCAGTTAATATGTACTTCCAATGACAATTACACTATTTACATCGAAATCTTTGATCTCAGTTGTTTAATAAATAGATAATTTGGTTTTCCATTTTTAACTTATCCACCGTTTAAGCTAAACGCCGTACGAACAACCGGCCCCTGACCTTCGTCAGGACTCAGGAAAGCTAGTGTGAGTAGTCGTTAATTCTCCTGAGATAATCTGGTATAAGTCAAAAGGAGGCACCCCATATATGCAATCAACCTGCTAAGTCCTTGTGCATTCGCTATAAAGCTAATGATATTAGCACTGATATAGCTAAAACCGAGAATCTCTTGGGGTATGCAGAAAAACATTTTGATTGTATACTTACTTCCCAACAGTTACATGAAAGTTTCCCGCCACTTTATTCACGGCGAAAGAACCAAAAAATCGACAACTATCCGGTTGACTTGAAGATTTCTGCAACAAATCATCCCTACACAACAAAACATCCGATAAACGTTAGATATAGTGTAAGGTTCATCATAACCTCAATATGCATTCCTTTGATTTCTCAATCGTTCTATTCATAAATGATTCCTTTAGAAATCGAATTTAACGATCAAACCGTGAATGTTGCGAAAAATACAATTCACGACCAGGCGCAGCCCGCGCAGGACAGAAAACAAACTAACGTTTCGTAAGGTTCGGGTAACGTTGATAAAAACCTGCAGTTAAGGCGCTGTTACACTATGCAATTTTACTTGCAACTTGCAATGCAATTAGCTAAAATTTTGAGGAATGTTAATTTTGTAAAGAGTGTTCGAAATGTGATGAAAGCGTTAGCAGATCCTAAAAAATGTTCGTATTTGTCAACTTTAGCTAAATGCCTCAGGAGTGGAATTGCATTGCAAGTTGCAAGGAAAGTTGCATAGTGTAACACCGTCTTTAGTCATCTTGCTAAAGCTTTTTTCCGACATTTTCAGGCATGCAAAGCATTCTTATGACGGTTTATAAACGGGGGCAAATATTGGTGTCGATCGCTGCAGCCCTATATAGCTACTAGGTACAGGTCTGCAGGTAGGCATATAGAACTGTCTTACCGCTGTGGCATCGCTGTGGGAATGTTTCTTTCAAACAGTTCAATTTCGTTGATTGTTCTGTAACCTTCCTTCGTTGACTTCATCTCTTGGAATTTCCTAATATTTGGCAGTAATTATAAAGTCAAAAAATGCATGTGCAAACAGTATACGATCGGAAAAACAACGACTCTCTTTAGGCGCAAGTATAGCGTCTTCAGGTATGCATTGCAGTGACCATCTCGCAGCGAAGGTCTTCATTCAATGAAAACGTTTATGCAAGAACTCGCAGTGAACTTGCAACTAGGCTTTGAGGTAGCAAACCGCTTTCTTTGTGGAGAGCATTTCGAAATGACGTACGTCTTGTATGCATGTACAGTAGACGGCAATTTACGGTTATATTCTATAATATTTTGAACTGTTTCAATAAATAAACTAACCTTAGCCATTCCTTTTGATTTTCTGCGAGTTCAAAGAAAGTCTGAAATGAGTAAACATATAGTAATTATTTGTTATCCCTTGTCAATATATACCATTAACCTCCAGGGACGCCGAACAGGGGGGGAAGCAGGAGCAGCTGCCCCCCTTGCCTTTTACCAGCAGGTGCAAGGGGGGCAAAAATGCCCTTTCAAGTAAAGGATTAATTACATTCTATATCCGAAGTAGAAGTGCAACAAACGAGCATCAAGAATAACGCAATCGTCTAAGACACAGAAATTATCTTGGAAAGAGAAAACACGTCGTTACGAAGTTCAACTGACGATGTTTTGCAAACACTCTTTATTATTAATGCGCTGCTACAGGAGTGCCCTTTCACAAAAATCTGCCCACTTTGCCCTCGGATCGTTCCGGCGTCCATGTTAGCTATATAACCTCACAATTTCAGGGATGCGAACACACGAAACAGGCAAGAATTGTCAGATCAAAACCGACGAGTATTGTTTCACGCGTATTGAGCACGCTTATGAATTTGTGTCGTCTAAAACCGTCATTCTAAAGGAACGAATTGCGGATACGAGAAACGTGTAACTGGAAAGCAGCCTGTTGATTGATAGGAGAAGAAAAGAAGAAGAGCTTCGTGGTGAAATGAAGTGCTGCACGTGTCGGAGTAATCTAAAGCCCGTTCTCCCCTAGCCGAATTTATTCGCGCAACGAAGCGATATCCGAAATCCCGTGAGGTGATTGGTTTGCGAAAAAATTCGCCGCTAAAAGTAGAATCGCTTCCTACTCTTCAACTGATCGCGCGAAAAAATTCGCCTAGTGGAGAACATAGGAATAGGGAGAAATAACTAAAAAATCAATCCAAAGTTATTATTTTCTTACAGCTTCTTCTTTTATATTCTCCCCTTCAATTGTTGCTCCTGATAAATCCAGGATGTCAGCGCCAATATCTATGAAAAATATCGTCAATTATTCATTACATACTTACAGTATACAACATACTGTACATCATCTTTTATATCCAATTCTAACTTTAACATTGTGTAGCTACTGGCAGTAAGGTTAACAAGATTTCTAAAAGGACCATCAGTTCAGGAACAATATTCTCTCTCAGCATTCGTACATAAAAATGGATAATTACAGCAAATTTAAGTCATGTACATATAACTCTTAACTTTGATCTTACTGTACTGGCTAAGTCTGAGTGATACCTAATACTAGAAATGACGTTTTGTTGGTGTAAAACATGGTAGTATTATTTTCCAAATAGGTACTTTCATCAAGAACAAAAAGCTTTGTCTTAGCCACACAAGAAAACCTTTTTTTTGCAAGTAAGATTACTTATATACTTGTTTTTTGTAAAACAAATGCATTTTAAAAATTGCAAATTAGTGACCTTCACGGGGCTCTGTTTAGATTTTAGCATTTTCTAAACCAACTTTAGGGTTTTTGACACACAGTAGACTTTCCCTAGATTCATCACTACAGCTGTGCTGTTCCATGTATTGCAAGGATTAAAATAAACCCTGAAATATCAGCAAGCAAAATGACCAGTCAACTTTAGCAAAGCATGATCAAAATGGCTTTTTTGGCATCACTAGTACAAAAAATTAAACCAACCAAATCGGTGGACCAAGTCCTATCTTCTCAGATAACTAGTTATATATATTTAAGATACCCGTACACAGCCCTATACAGTTATCATATATGTACCTTGGCATTGCATAGCAATAGTAATGTCAACATTGATCTGTAGTTTACTGTAAAATAAATTTAAAAAATAGTTTTACACATTGAACATGGCATACTGTATGTATTTAAATCTTTAATATTTGCATGCTGACCCTCTCTACATGTGCATGCATGATTAGTAAAAGCTCAGTCTGCATGAACATGCCAACTTTACACATTGTACCGACTAAAAGATAATAGGTATATGGTACCCACCAGATATACTGTTTTTAATTCAAAAACAAGATATAATATAACAATTACATAAATAAAAACAAAATGTTTTTAAAAGACTGTTTATATATATAGTGTAGTATAGTGTATATCCAGTATTGCTTTGTGCTAAGATATCTACAGTACCGGCCAAGTGGTATATTATTTAGATACAAATATCTGCTTTTTGGAAGCAAATTAACAACTTAGTTTGCAATCAACACAAGTTAAAAAATACATACCTGTCTGCATCAGCATCGACTTCATAGTTATATTGAATATCTGTAGCCCGGTAATATTGAAACTCAGAGATGATCAATATCCCAATGAAGAGAAATGTCAGGATAGAAACTAGAAAGGGATTGTGCAAAGGAACTTGTTAAATACACATTTTATTAATTACCATTACATCATGAATTGGATATTCATTAAACAGTATTCACAACCATACTCAATTCTCAGGGATTCTGTACGTAGTGGTCGGATGAATTACAATTTAGATAAGTTTAATAAATAAATGTATAACAATTGGTGATCAAGGAGGAAACATTTGTTTATTGTCACAGACCAAGTATTAGATTGAAGGTCAATAAACTTTGACATTATTTGTATATACAGGTTTCTAAAATCTTGCCTAATTGCTCTTCAGGCAGATTGGCCCACAGTGACACCAGGGAATTTCCCAATGCACCCCTCGTATTTATGCTGATTGGGACCCCATTTTCATTGATCATTGGTTGTTGCTCATGTTTGAGCTTTAAATGGCACCCCGTATTTGAGTTTTCCTGGTAAATGCTCCATATTATGCTAGTCCACCATGTGTTCATACAATCAGATAATGATTTTACAAGGTCAAGTCTTCAGCAGCCATTAATTCAAATTATGAAACCTAATTGTCCAAGGTGCATTATGCATCTATGTCCTCAGTGTGGTGTTACAGTGTGAGGTATACATATTTTTTATAAATTGGTAGTGTAAAAACAGCTGGTACCCTTATAAAATTTATCCCCAGCTATGAGGAAAATTTCAGTAGCATAGACAGAAAACCTAATTGCTTAAACCAGAAGTGTTACTATGTGTTATACTAAATTTTTTAAAAGTTTTCTCCCTAGTCATTAGTAATATACCACATTTTATCTTCAAGTACATTTTTGATAAGTTATTGCAAGATGCTGCCAGCTGCTCCATGGCTATTTTGGAACTCGGTGAAACTGGATATAAATTCCAGTTAAACACACAAGTAAATCACAAAGGCTGAGCATGAACCATTGCTCCACAAAAATGAGTAGGTTACACGTAAACGGGTCTTTATAAACTGAAGATCAGAAGATATGGATTTGGTCAGGGTAATGATGAGTCAACGTTTGCATCTTCAGAGTTCCGAAACTATTTTAGCCAACTAACAGACTAAATAGAGATCTATAACAAAGATCTGCCTAATTTGGCAGGGAAGTGTAAAGTTTAATATTCCATTAGAGCATTACAACCTGTTCCGCCACTAGCTGTGGTCTTTTGATAACTTTCTGGCACCTTGGGAAATGCATCCAAATCTTGTATTACTTTGAGATGTTTCCTCTGTCTCAATTCACTGCCGAGTCGCCTCATACTCTTAGCTCGGATACCTTTTTTTACAGCGTTAAATAATTGTCCATTTACATTGTGAAAGATGTGATAAATTTCGCCAAAAAGTTAAAAATCTATAAAAAGATAATAAAAGAACAACACGGATCGATATCCATGTTTGATTAATTCAGCTCGTGTTTCATAAATAATGGATCTATCCCCATTTGTTCTATTATGTCCTCGTACTGGAAGTTACTTTTGCTATAAAGTGCTGCCGACGAGATATCTTACTGGGGGGGGGTACTAAAATTTTCCAGAAGGTAATTATTGCATCAGAGCTATGAAAAGACATCCTTATCTTTGAAAAGGCATCCTTATATAAACATGAAACGGTATCATTGGTGAATATAATAATATATCAAACAACTCGGAAAAGCAATTGCAAAATACGAAATTTCGATCTGCATGCTACCACATTCTGTATCCTTATCGATTTTTTTTATTTACATCTACATTTATTGCTCTTCAACACTTTCGTATCAAGAAGAGATTTATTAATTAAAGAAATGCAATTATGTTTTCACACTTTTATATTATCTAATTAAAGCATGCGGTTTGAAACACTTATAGCTTGTTTGTAACTTTGTAATAAAAAGGTCTAACACACAACATAAATCATAACATAAACTGATAACATAAATCATAAAATGCATGCCAGCTTGTTTATTTTACCTTTGAGGTTTATTTTACCTTTAAGGTAACCTTTCACTAGCTTTTCTAACCACATAGTCATAATCATTTGTAAATACTATCTCCGCCTATCGACCATATAAACCATGACTACCGATGCAACTATATATCAAGACGAAAATTCCTATTTATTATTGTATCTAATGTCAGAAGGTTTTGCTACCTAAATATCATGTATCTAAAGTTTAACCAACCCCCCCCCCCACACACACACACCCAGACGAAAACAAAAACTCTACACCTACGTGACTAACAATCAATTGCTCAGTTTTATCAACTAAGGCGGTCACCTTGTGTACGTTTATAGGGAGTCTGAGTAAAATGACTCTGAGGTATTTATGACACCCAGTCCGTTGTAATCACCGCATACCGTAGAAAATGATTTCACGTCGATATTGCAACTTTAGTGGGTCCACAATTGAGTGTGAAACAGGCAATTATATATGATTCCATTCCCTTTGAAATCCCACCTCAGAAAGAGCGTAAAATGTTCAATAAAAAAAATCATCAAAAAAGCACTCCGCTATTTTTGTTAGTTATCGGAAAAAAAGACAGGGACAGATGTCTCAATTTCACGGTTTGGTACACGGGCAAAGAATTTTTCTCTATTTGAGCTCAATCAATATTCTCTTGGAATAATTGGTCCAAAAGTTGATCCAACGTTGATGAAGTCCATCACCAAAAATCGCGAAAGTAAAGGCCATGTTACACGGTGCAATTTTTCTTGCAACTTGCAATGCAATCCAACTTTTAGAAGATTTAAATTTGTACAGAGTATTCAAATGTAAGCGTACATGGAGCGTAATAAACATTAAAGTTTCGCGGTTGCCTGATTTACCTCTCTCAAAAGTAGAATTGCATTGCAAGTTGGAAGAAAAAATGACCGTGCAACATGGGCTTAAGGGTAGAAATAAGCGGTATCAAAAAATAGGGCAACAGAATCGTTGGCATGCCTGTAACAGTGTTTCATTAGCACTGCTAGTAATATCGTGGTGAATATTGAAGAAAGAAAAGGAAATGAATTTGATACAGAATTTTGATACAGTGTTCCCAACTTTTTAACCCTGTTAGGAAAAGCTAGTAGCTTAATATTGGTGCATGGACTGGGCCTAAGTGTATAAATATAAAATAACTATAAATATATATTACGTTTTGTCAGATAAAGATTACATTTATGCCTGCCGAATCTTGGAACTTTAGTCTAATACCTTTCGAAGTGCGTTTTCAAGTGCTTTTGATGGTTTATGCATTGATTTTTGCAATCATTTGTACAGACGACAAAACTTGCCAAGTCTAAGTGAATCTTCTCAAGTGTTAATTTGGGATAATATAAATTACAGTTGTGTATAAAATGAAAAATAAATTATCCAAAAGAAATGATAAAAGCTAATATTTAGAGGAATAAATGAAAATATATATTTCAATCAATGAAACATTATATGATGATGACATTGCATTGATGATGACATAAGGCTATATTGGGACAAAACAATGACGACTGATTAAGTGAGTTCATGCGACCATGTCACCACAAAGAGCATGTTTTACGAAATTATAATTCGGACCTAAATTTAACCACTAAAGAATGTTTCGCTATGATTTCTTTGCTACCTGCTTTGCCACCTTCTTATGCAAACTAAAGTTGTGTTTTTACACCAGATAGTCCTCAGATTATTATGAGCAGAACCGATGGACAAAATTCCGCAGGAAACAACAAACTGCTACGTTCGCCGGTAAAACGACCCAAAAAAATTAATGAGAACAGTGTTGAGCAATTTTGGACTTTTAATGAACTATAGTAATTTAAACTTAACGAAGTATATTGACCGCATTATCCACTATAATAACTTATCTTTTCTGAGTAACATAGTTCGATAGGTTCACTGGTAACTTGGACAGCGAATACGCCAAATAGCTCTGTAGTTGGAACACCATGTTGATGTGTCTTGTCAGCTTAAATTAGCATTGATTGTCAGGTGTATTGCTCTATATAGATTTATCCTTCTTGTCTCTCTTCAGTATTTGTGTGCTATCATTGCCGTCTAGCTGTGCTCAGACTACACTTGGCTAAGGGAAGAACTAAAACTAAGTTATTTTCCTGTACGCAGTACAGTGCTTAATGCATTGTAGCACTCGCTATCGTGGTTTGTGGTCGAGACCTTAATTGTAAGGTGTGGATTGCTATTTGCTTACTCATGTGCGCGACTTTATAAGTTCGTCGAGAAAACGCGGCTAAAACGTTGAGCAATACAATAGCTGCTTAAAGTTTTATATTTTCACTCTATATGTATTGTAAAAACTAAAAGGCCGCTATATAATTATGTGGGTGGGCGTGGAATTGAAATTAGTGCGCAAGCGACACCCATTTAATTAAATTGTCGCTAATTTACGATAATCGGTTCGCAAAGTTAATAGAGTCTCCTTGATGATGACTATATTTTCATTCGAAATGTATTAATACATTTTTTTCCGTTTTGAAAGTTTACAAGATCAAAGTGCAAAGCACATTAACAACGCGCTTTCAGTTATGCCGGATCTCGAAATAATATTTTCGAATACAAACCTACCAATGCAACAATGCGATGGGACTGATTGAAGTTGTAATAATTTATTCAGCCCTTCCACCGATATGCCACGGAATGGAAATGAAGTATTATTGTTATAAGAAATTATTTCTAAAATGTAGAATAATATACTCAGCTGGAAAATATACTCAGCGACAACAAACGATATTCGCCTTATGAATTCCAAAGGTCTGTTCACACCATCGAATTTTGTTGGATTCAATTCACTTCTGATGGATGTTTTATAGTCTGTTGTCTTGTAATGTATATGAGCAGAAAATCCACCGAAGTCAAAGCACTACTGCTTCATCGATAACCGACTATATTCCATACGTCAGAAGTGAATTGGATCCAACAAAATTGGATCGCGTGAACAGACCTTAAGAGTTTCCCGGCAGAAGGATGCAGCCAAGCTTCCACTATAGCGTGCATGGGCATGAACAAAAACCCTTTCTGTTGAATATTTTGTTAAACAAAGTGCCGTATTGCATAATAAACCACTTTCTCTCAAGTTTCTCAACCTTGCAGAGGAATATCACCGATCGGCCTATTGTAAAGATCTATAGTCCAATATTTCATTGAACAAACCTATAATTATAGTGTTAGTTACTAAATAAGAAGTTATTTTTTAGTGTGTGTGTGCGAGTTTCGCACTTCATGCTTGCATGGCGTCTTAGACTCAGAGAAGATTAATGTCGGAAGCCGTTTGTATCAAGCATAAAATAACACTTTTACGTCTCTCTTGAATGAGTCAACTTGAATATTAGCCCCTGATTACAGTAGTTGTAAACATGCCGTATCGATAAAGATAATTTCCCGACATATCAGTATTTCTTATCGGTCAAAATGACTTATTGATACCCGGCGACACTCGCTTTGATAACACTCGCTTTCTTCAGTTCTCGTGTTTAAATGCATGCATGCATGTGTAATGAATATACTTGGAGAGACGTAGGACGCCTAGCTATAGGACTAGGCGCTTTCACATAATTATATCTTAACATTGCGCGAATGGAGTGCACACGCGTCAGTCTGTTAATTACCAGACTGATTTAAGTTACTTTACAAAGCTTAAAACACTAGGCATATATCTATATTTTAGTTTATTAGTTTATGCTTGTTGGCAATTTAATAAAGCGTCTTCAACTATAAATACTGTTTCAATACAATAAAACAGACTTTCCTTTGTCAGCAGGTGCTCGCTGACGATGCATGAAGTTTCTGATCTCACGAGGAGGCGATCAGCGTTCTTTAACGAGGCGATGAGCGTTCATGCAAGAATATCGATTCATGCAGTGCTTCTGATGCGTTATTTAATAAAAAATTCCTCAATTCAATTTTACTAAAAATCATTAGAAGAATTTTGTATAATACGACTCGTTGTTTTACCGGCTTTGGATATTTGACATCTGCATAATTATTTAATGAGAAGTCAGTATGTCTAACAATATTTCAGTGGCCATATTATTGCTTTGAAAATTGCCTTGAAATTGAGTTGAAAAATGCCCCATGGCGTGACAATCATGATCAAATTATAATCCAATTTTAATTGCTCTATCTTTTTGCGTCGGGTTTGTCTTGCCAACACTAGCAAATGTTTTTTTAGTATATATAAATGTGATATTACTGAACATATTTTAGGCGGTTGTTATATACAGCATTAAGTGACACAGGTTATTTTTTGGCAAGATATCGAACTTCAAATGTACGATTCATATCGTCCATTCTTTTCCATTCCCATATAACGTCGTTTTAAAAACATGCCTTCATGAATTTTACAAATAAACGAATTTTCATTTTAAACGTCAAATGCTAAGTGTAAAATGTTAAACGGCCACTCATTTTTAAGAAAGTATCTTACCGAAAAATACGAAAAAAAATCATTTAAAATGCTTTAAAAATATTTCCATGTGCATGAAATTGAAATGAATAGCCAAAATATCGTTGTCGTTGAACTGACTAATTTAATTAACGATATATTTAACAGTTATTCTGCGAACTCGAGTCGTATATGCATGAGCTGCCATATACAAGGAGAGTGAACTGTTTTATTATATACACAAACTTTGTCGCCCTTTCGGTGCATTTTGGTGTGCTATTATCAACTAAAGCTTGGATTTCTATTTCACTCAACTCCCCAAATCTTTCAGCCTTTTTGTTTACTTTCTCTAGTAGACAGATATATGAGCTAATATTAATATCTGTCTAGTAGCCAACCAATGAAATTCCAGCATACCTCATATCTGGCGCTTGTGTATATATATAATATAATAAATTCACATTGCCAGCGAATAATATTTGGCGAATGATTTTTTATTAGATTACTATCGTTTCTGGTAATCAAATATATTCTGAATTTCAGAATATATTTCTGAACAGTTCTGCAATTAAAGTATCAATGTATATATAACGGCACTGAAGTAAGTGTATAGTAGTGCCACTGATATCCATTCAAATATATAATTTGCAGCTTGCATATTTAGTGATGATATTTTGACGGTTTGGCGAGACAATGAGAGAAGTTCACTTTTATGACCAATCTTTTTTAACATTGTGTTACCGCTGTTGGTTTGCAATTATTAAGGCCCATTTAAATTAAGAGGTATGACTAATTCTAGGGAAATGGAATAGCTAGATGCAATGCTAAATTTGCGTGATGATTTAACCGGTATAGTACGTATAGCTGACCACAGCTCGCTCCTCAATTCATCATTGGATTTGGACTTTCCTTGTTTACCGATTTTTTGTAAACATATACATTTGTGCATGGATACTATATATAATATAAAGACAAAAAGCAGCACATTTTTGCGAGAATTGTTTTAATGGCAATAGCTTCTACGACGAAGCTGCATGGAAAAGCTTAAATAATTCTGCTGTTATACTTATGAGAATATTAGTCTTTGAAAGGGAATACAAGCTAGGTTAATTTAACTAAACTAAATTTTTGCTAAGGAATTGACAATAGTTTCTTTGTTCACCCAATGAGCTCTAGGTTTTTGTCCATAATAGCCTATTAATTATTTACTGCCCACGTGGACTACTCGCTTTGAACCTATGTATAAGAGCATTTCAGTCGCCTATATGTATAATTATAAGAGCATTTTTAGGTAAGTGTGAGCGTAAAGCCCTGTAGTTATGCTCGAGTGCTCTTAGTTTAAAAGTTTACAGCTGCAACCGTGCGTGCTTCTTTAAAAAAATTTCAAACTGCGACAATATAAAATAGCAGCTCTCTTTCTCTCTCCCTCTTCATGCACATCGCCGCGGTTGAAAGAGATAAAGACAATTGCTGAAGAAGATAAGAGATGTTTAAGGTATAGCTACCTGCTTTACGTGCATAACTGCTTATGGTCGAATAAGCCTTCGTAAAGCAAAGTATTTTTATATATGCGTCCAAAAAGTAGCTACATATGTTTAGTTTTTTCGGAGTCTCGTGTTTGTAAATTTCATCTATACTGAATAAAAAAATGAAATAAAATAGAAGCAAACGAAAATTTCGTTTAATTGAAAAGCTGTACTTAATTTTAATCAAGTAATTCTCTAGAGTTTTTAGGATTTTTACGATAGAACAAGGTTATAGATATTATGTCGATAAAACTAGAGTGGTTGAAAGTGCATGATGGAAAGTTGAAAGACAATAGATTTTACGAGGGCAAATAGATATGTATATCACTTCATTTTTTATACATCTTATGGACCCTTGCGTGTTTAATTTTTTTTGTACTTGTTCGTATTTCGAGTTAGCGCGGACTGAAATTTATGCTTATTAAATTTAGCATCATACATAGCGTTCTGCTAAACGCGACAATTGTGCATGCTGTAGCTAAAAGGCAGAAAACAAGGCCGTTTCTCAAGATATCAAAAGATTTTCCTTTATATTGAATAGGGAGTTTTTAAACTACTCAAAGCTAAAAAAAACATGTTTCAACAATTTTTATTTGGCATCACAATGGAGAATACGCTTTAGTATATAGCTACCACTGTTGCATGTGCCGGATGAATATATTTATTTTGCTTAAGTTTGAATATTAGAATTAACTTTTATGTTATGCATTTTTTAGCTCCGTGTAATTGTTGCCGCAATTGTATGCCTACAATTGCATGCGTTTACATATCCAAGAAAGCTCCATAAATCCTTTTGGAATTACAACAACGAGAATACTGTGATGTACAGGTATATTATAATGTATATTATTATGGCGTAGAAAAGCACAGTTGCAGCATATATTATTATTATACTAATAAATTCCGTCCATGCAGAGATCAGTAGTTACACACGGAAATTGTGACAGAACATATAGCGGAGTCCAAAGTCGTCCAAAGTAAGGTTCTTTCATGCACTTTCATGTGATTATATGTTTTTGAATAATAATTATGATATGAAGTTATTGACTCACTTAAACATAAATTATAATGTTGAATAAAAGCGAGTTTTGTCGTACAATTTTAATATTAATCGGCAAATATCAAACTATATTTTCATTTTTATGTTCGATTCTGCATGTATGTTTAGCTTTCTACATTTGAAATGATTGATGAAAAATTATAACGTTATAGTTAGTGAATGTTTGAATTGATTAAAATCCTAGTTAAGGAAATAAATATAAACTATGCGACTATACATGTTTCGTCTTTCGACCTCTTCATTTTGTGGTCATTTTGAAAAATTCCAGTTACCGTAAATGGGCTCGGTTTTTCAGCGAACCGTAATGCTGTTAATAATTAAGGAGTTTACGATTCACGACGCAGCCAGATCGCAAAACAAAGAAACTCCACAAGCGAGACAATAGGTATGCATAATTCGTGGTCCCACGACAGCGTTGTGATTCTTGACGACGCTTTCAAATGAGCCATTTTCACGGTCTCTCGATGACATGAAAGCTGCGACATTGTGATAGCTGTTTGATAGCTTATATGAAATTGCAATATCAGCTAGATTTCGGAGGTTATTAGTACGTTGTATGTTTATGTCAAAGTCCTGGTAGCATAATTAATTGCCCGTAGCTTATTTCTAGCGAAATAATTGACTATAGCGACGTCGAGCTAACCGCGTCGTAAATTGTAAACTCGTGGTTCTGATGCGATCGTTTGGATCGCTAAAAAACGGCAACTACCTTTAGGAACATAAGAACTATCCCTGTCCCATCCATTTCTAGCGCAACCCATCAACCGTAACGCAAACAAGGGGAAGGGTACATCCTACCTTTAAAGTGCCTATATTGGAATTTTACTTCGACCTTCCAATAGCGTAAAATATTTTGAGAAAAACTCGCCCAGTTGCTACAGCCATACACAACGCACCGTTCCCGCATTTTTTTCTTGAAAAGTGCAAACTATATCGCCAGTGAAACTCTTCATGTTTACATTTTAGAAGACGGCGTGTTTGCAAATCATTCCTGAGTCCCAGTCCCCCCAACCGACGTTTTTTCGAAACTATTTAATAATATCAAAAAAGGTTGTAGAACTTATAAACAAATTTTTCAAGCCCTATTCAAATCCGTAAAGATCCCACAAGTGATATAGGCACTTTAAAAGAACACTTTGTGAGGAATTCATCCACCTAATGGCAACCCGTGTATAGCATATCTTTACACAGGTTAAGGCTGAGAAGTATTTCTCTGCCTCTGTTGCCTGTAGACTCCATATCCCTGATATTTCCCACGTTGACCAACTGCCATGCATTTTTCGATATATATTGTTTCCCACTTGTTTCCGAATAATAATTATGACTACGGTGGAAACACAATGACATGCATCCAGCAACCCCTCGCCATTTCAAACGAAGCAGATTTTTTCCTGAGCTAGCCAGACATAATAGCTGATGCTTCACATTTTTCGGAAACAAACACAGTCGTAAAGATGAAATTAAATTACCGTTTACCTGCTGCATTACGTTGCATGAAATTATTGTCATATAGACTTCGTTTTTATACTTCACTATAGCTAAACCTTCAAAACAGCAAAAATAATTCAAATCTCCAAACCCTAAACGTCGAATGCTGTTTTTCGATTATTGAAATCATGCAGAGATTGCAGTCGATCTTCGCAAAACGACATACCAAGCTCAAAAAATGCATTCTTACCTATACCATTTCAAAGATTATAAAGTACGAGTTGTTCACCGCTTAACCTACCCAGTTCTGATCATATTTTAATCTTTCCGAGTGTTTATATCATTTAATTTATTTGATCCGCATTTCATATTGTGTTTACGAAACATTTTTTTAAAAAAGTAGTCTTCAAAAAATGATATTTAAGTTGCTGATGTTTTACATTGAAATACAAACATTTTGTCTGAGTCAATCAGCAAGTTGCTAATCACCAGACCTTGCTCGTCCAAATTTTGCGCGTGCGCAGAAGTGCTATGACCATTGAATGTCCACGGTCCATGACATAGAATTTGGACAACTTTGGATTCCGTTATGTTCTGTTACAATACCCGGGCGTAACTCCTAATCACCGGGCGGAATTTGTACCCTCACACGGCGCTCCGCGCTGGCTCGGGGATAATAAGCTGTTGACCCATTTAAACATTTAAAGTGTTTAATAAAGACTTGGGTCTCTCCAGCTCATGAAATTACATTGTTTAGTTTTCAATGGCGAAGGATTGTGCATGTATCACTATAGCTACTTGATGTGCACTCAAGAATAATCCCCTCATATGAAAACATGGCGATTTTGTCCGGCTATGCAAACACGAGATATAAGTATATAGGGGCGTATAATTATAAAGAAGTAGGGGCTTGTACGTATATAATTTATATATACTAACGTTAAGAATTCAAGCAATTTCTTTGGTCCAGAGCCATGATTTATAAGAGGACGGAAGCACGGAAAGATGGATGTCACAGAAAATTTTAGCGAATTTGATCAGTAATATCTTTTTTTATTTTATCAGCCAATCACATTTTAGCACGTGTCTTAAGCTAGCCACTAGCATTTCGACAATCATATAGATCATGTACGCGTGATATCTGCAAAATTTTTACTTTGACAATTTTCCAAGTTATAGGCAAACTATTTGTTTACTTTCGGTTTACTATACGTATAATAGATAAAATAGCTTAACTGAATTTAGTCTGATGATGTCGCTTGTAGTGGGCAGTGGCGTCAATCGAACGTTAACAGAATATGTGAATTTATATGGTATCCCTCCCTCAATTAACTTCGATGACGCCCACGGTAGTGACACAAAACGTTGCTCAATTTTAATATGCCTTTCCCGCGTATATACTGAACCTCCATTACTCAACGGTGAACAACTTTCATGCGTTTAAAATGGCAATGCTTCGGTGTAATAAATTCTCCTGTGGAATTGTTCATGGATTAACCGTTATCAACATTTTTGCAGAGTTGATGCACAACATAAGCGGATATATCTTCCAATCTGCAAGATAGACTGCAGTAGTCCTACAAACCTATTTCATAACTATTTGTCGGATATTAATGAAAATAGCATGGCTGGTCTTCAGAAGTCATTAAAGGTGAGATGTCGTAAAGACACTAAGAATAATATATGCATTCCAGAATTCAAAAACATTTGAGGCTGGTTTCTCTCCTTCCGTTGGTGGTGAACAATAATGATATAATGGCGATAGACGTGTAGAACGTAATTAAACACTCTTAGTAAATTTTAGATTATTAAACGTGTAATAGTTAGACAGGGCCGTAGCTAGAAGCTTAATTGGGGGGGGGGGTGAATATTCATATATTCGTCTTATGCCCGAATGATTTCTTTTGTATGCTATTGTTCCTATGGTATATAAACATGAATATATGAATATACACCCCCCCAATTAAGCGGTCTAGCTACGGCCCTGTAGTTAGACCTTTTCACGATCATAAAAGTTTGCAAAAAAATAGAATTACGATGACTTTTTTTATTTTGTACGTTTTAACACCCGTTTTATTAAGATAATAGAGATTATTTCATGGTTGACAAGTGTGTACGATATTTAGCCCTATATGCAATATATTGTGCTGAAATTCGTATGCTTTTTAAACTTTTGACTGAACTCCTACCTAATTCCTGGAAATAGACGCATATTGCTAAATTCCATTGTCACACGTTTTACAGTATTCATGGGATTCACATTCGGAAAAACTAAAAGCAGTGCTTCCACTTACTGTTAATCTGAATTTCCTTTTTCTCTCTTTTTCCTTCATATTCCTTCCAATTTCTTTGATATTTCCTTGTAATTTTCCTGCCAGTTTTATCCATAAATATCTGTATTTCTAGTATCTCCTTTTATGACTCGGGGGGAGAATACTAAATTGCGGCACACGTAAAACAAATAGGGTAACAGTTCCCCTCAAAACAGAAATTATACTGTAAATTGGGCGAAAGACAAGTTACAGCATAGTGCAGTAGTCAACTAAGGAGTGAAATATATGCAGAAATAAAGACAAACTAGTGAAATTACATCCTGACTATTTTAAAATTGACTTAAATGCAACCAGCTTGAATTTCCTTCAAATTTCCTTTCAAAAATGTTTCCTTGCATGTTTCCTGCCAAAGGCCAATATTTTCTTTTCCCAGGAAATTTCCTGACAAGTGGAAGCTCTGACTAAAAGGCTTTCTCTTTGAGAAAAGTTTGCCTTTCTTTAAAGCCCATCTTTTTAATTTAGTACATACCTCTCTGGAAGCCAATAGACCTTATGCATAATGACGTAACAAGACGTGACTCCTGCAGGGAATTCTGGTCTTAGTAGTCACGACGGGAAATTTTGAAGTTTGAATTTTTCGCCGTGCCACGGCTAGATACGTCATTATGCATAATGTCTATGTTGTGCATTTTTACTACTTTTGAGCATGTCAAACTCTGATGATAAGTATCATGTTAATAACTAAGTTGAGAGACTAAATATAAACGAGTTGATTAAACAATGAGTTTCAGTTTTTCACTCGTTTGTATTTCAGCTTAGTCTGTGCTGCATTTTATGCATAAAATTAAGCTATTAGCTATAACGCGTTTTCGACACGTTTGTTTTGGTTGGGAATAAAAACGTTTTCTAAAAAGTTCGAAAAGTTTCTTTTATATTTTAGGGAATTTTTTTCTTTCCTATTCAAACACGAGGTAGTTGCCGGATCTCTACAATAGTTTTAACTCCTTCAGAGTAAGCGTTTGTGCTGTGGATTCATCTTTTAGCATTGAAATAAGTTTTTCCATATTT